TGCTAGTTTTTATCATCATATGCAGAGTGTGGAATACAGCTCTTAGGATTTTTAAATAAAAAAATGGAAGTGACCAATGTGAAGCCTTTCTTCAAAGAAAGCACAAATAGGGAAATAAAAAAATAAAACAGATTATCAGAGGAGACTTAAAGATATAAACTTTATCTAGTTCAACAAATTGTTTAGTTCGAAAACTCATCCATAGAATAAAAGTTACTTCCTAATGCAAAAAAAAAATTAGTTTGCAATTACTTGCCATGATCAAAATTCCCAACAAGAATTTCCAGCTCAGTTCCAGAAGCCAACAGGTTATCACCCCTGTACACCAAGCAACTAGAAGTGTGTTAGCCTCAAATGTCTCAAATTGAAAAAGAAAAGTTAAGCATCTGCTTTAGAAATTATCAATACCATATCCATGTTTATTGTCTATGGTGATAATACCTGCTACACCTATTTCTTTAAACACACTGATCTAGCCTGAAGTAACTCATACATGTTTGCACTGTACAATGTGAAATTTTTCATGTAATATTWATAAGTTTCTATGACTAACATATCTCCTGTTTACAATAAGATCACCCTTTTTTCTCCTTCCAATTCATGGATGTCAAGACTTATTCTAGCAGCAGAGAGTGATGAACCACTTCAAATGTCCTTTTTCCTCCCAAAGCTTTCCCGTGCCTTTTWAAAGTCACTCACCATTTTAAAATGTAGGGTTTTCCCCAAAACTATATTCATTTGTTGCTCGAAAGAAGAGCTTAAACATAGAGGAGGAATTGCTCTTCTACAGTACGATTTTAAAGGTAGTCTCATTACAATAATAAATGGTGAAATAATCATTGYGAAATCCCCTTTCATTTGTTCTTAATGATCAAAATCACAAAGTGTTATATTGCACACTCTCCAGCACTTTGTATTTCAATCAACACCAAAACCATTTTAATTATATATGAAGATTGCAGGTTTAGCCACATGCCTATTCACCTGTGACCACTACAGTTCTTTTTTGAAACAGAAAATGGCTGCGAACAACCTCCAACAACCTCCACAATAAACTGAGCTGGTGCTTCCCTCAGAATACTTGTTCGCTAAAATTCAAATGTTGCAAGTTTCCAGACATGGCACTACAGCAAACGGGCATGCCAAAATATTAAAACGGTCTCTCGGCATCAAACGGCCAAGTTTGCATTCACATGAAGCACTGGCCACTAATTTTAGCTTAAGGTTGCATTTATGCTTTTTGGTTATAAGGCAACCAGAATTTCAGTGGAAAATTCAGGACACGAATTCATGAGTTTGGGGTATTAAGGAGAGCAGAGCTAGACAGAGAAAATAAGAGGAGAGGTTTTCATGCCCTCTCCCTCATCTCTTCCTCATTTTGGTCCTGCCCCTGCTCCCTCATCTGGCCTTTACCTTTGCTCAACATCCACCCCTTTGTCCCTGCCTTCCGTCCTGCGGTTCCACCAGGGTCCTAACAAGTGACGTTTTGCAACCCAGAGGTCKTCTTTGCTACTGGAAAACCAGAAGCTGGGACAACAGGCTGTACCTTGATTAATCTGCACCTTTTGACCTAGATGTGTCATTTCCAAACCATATGCTCCAGATTTACAGGATCAGCTAGGACCAGTGAGTCTCCAGAGATTTGRCTGTTTAAGGTGGGTTTCCCTCAAGCTGATGGTTTTCGCTGGACAGCAGTGGAGGACAAAAGGCAATAAATCCTTTTGCATAACAGCTTGGGGATAAAGCATAAGAAATGTATTAAGCTAAGCTTAATTAATTGGCAGATATAGGAAGCAACCAGCCCCCTGTGCAGGTTACAAACACTAAGATAGGGTATAGTCTTTCCTTATAGCTCCAGGAGCACATTCTGAAAATAGACATCCAAGGATATGGTTTTACTTTACTTATTAGATTTTTACATGTCTTTCATTCATGTGAATGCATATCCAGCAGTAAACACAGGGAACAAGAAGCATAAGGTTCCCTTGGGAAACTGGACCAAAGTCAGTAATTGAACACAAACAAAACGCCTAAAACTTCCTTGGGCAAGTAAGGTTTTCCTTACGGAAGTTATGATATGTCCAAGGAAGGGAGTGGAGTGGTGGGGTTTAACTGTTAGTACCAACACTGTTCATAACTCTTTGCTCATAATCATTTCAATTTCATGCCATTATATCCTCCTACCTTTGCATACTTCCCAAATGTGTATGACTTTCGTTGAGCTGAGTAGTTAGCCAAAGATGAGTTCAAGTTGCATCCTTCAGAGCAAGATACAGCAGGTAAATTCAGAGGGTTTGGGGACAGTCCCACTTCTTTTTTGATCCTGTTTCTTTACAGTTTTCTCCTGCTCCTCTCAAATGTTCACACACATCTTAGCCAAACGACAGCAAGTAACAACCCCTTTCCTCGCACAAGTCTTTGCCTTGAGAAGGGACACGGCATCTTCGGAGAAGAGGCTGCTGTGATTTCAACTAAATTCTCAGCACAGATGTATTTTTAAAACCCCAGTGGTTACAACAAAGCATGAAACACATGAAAAACACACGTATGCACATACTGGAGAGGAAAATCTGCTTCTTCCTGTAAAGATAACTAAACATTTCCCATTAGAAGATCTCACTTCCAGTGGGTTAGAACCTCATCAGACCAGGCTGAGAGCCTGGGTGAGCATCTCCACGTCCACATCTCCTCAGCAGGACTGCCCTGTACCCACAGACCTCCCTCCTCCAAGCTACATCCTCACTCCGGCTGCTCCAGCTCAGTCCCAGCTCCCTCTCTGCCACCCAAGTGATGAATTATTTCCCTTTTACATTTCAGCTGAGAGGAGAACTTAGTAAAACTTCTTTCCTGGAGGTCACTAAGCAAACACTACTAATGTTTTCAGCCCCTGCCCATCATAAGCCCGTTTTGAACTCGAAGTTACATGTTTTTAAGAAATTCCCATGTCTTTCTACATGGTCCCAATTTAACAACATCCTATTACAACCAACACAAACTCCTGCTCTTACTGCTCCCTTCTCTAATCTGCCCGTTTTTGCTGCACAGCAGATCTGCAGTAAGGTTATGAATTGTCTGATATCTTCTGGTTTTGTTTAATTTCTGGAAGAAAGTAGTAAGTAAGGCTAATAGAACTGATGAAGCATAATTTATCATCACAGAGTTCACTTGAACGTGGCTGTGTACAAAGTTTTGCCTGATCCTTGCCTTTCCACAGTTTACCTGAATGACAATGTGTCTGAAGGGCACACATAAAGCAATTCAGACTGAATGAAGCAACTGCAACACATGCCTTTGCCACTGATACTGCAAGCTWTAACACAAATGCTTTATTTGAGCAGGGACCTATTTCATTATTTGAACATATGCAGTATAACACGTATTTCAAACTTTCAAATTATTAGATGAATTTTTCTAAATATTGKCTCAATCTTATGTAAATAAGACCTATCAATTTAAGTAATTCCTACCTGCACGAACAGGAGGGACAACTTAATATAAAAGATATCTCAAAAACATTCCTGAATTGAGCAGTGTGTTCAGAAGGTGACAATGTAACTGCTCTGAACTTGAAGAAGGTTCCTTTGGAGGTCACATTAACACTGACAGGTGCCAATTCAGCATTTACAACCCCAAAGTGCTCCGAGTCAACCAAGGTAATGGTCTCAATTTTCACTGGATTTCTGTAGCTGATTTAATGGACACAGAACACGACYCAAACATAATTTAAATCCTGGCTCACATATAACTCTTAATCCTGAGTACAGTAATTTTCTTAGCATAGCTTATGCCTCAACTCATCATCTCTAAAATGGAAAAATGCTTATGTATCCTACAAAACACATTTCAAGGACAAAACTAACACGGACAGAGTGTCCAGCTGCAGTGTTTTTGGTTATTTAGAAACATGTACAGGGAAAAAAAAGGAGTTGGAGACAACAGCAATGACCACAAGCTCCTAACAACCAGGACCTGTTTGAATTTCCAAATTAGGAAATACTGCCAATGCGACATTTCAAGAATTCTGTTTTAACACACACAAAAAAAGGTACTAGAGTAATGTCTGAGCTCCTTGCCCGTGCTTTTTAATTTGCCTTTCCTTATAAACTCCTGCAGTTTGTTCCCTTCTCCTGCAGGAAAGCCGTTCACCTACAGGACAGTCTGATCATACAGAAGCAGCCTGACTAGTGAAAAGACAAAGGGGAAAAAATATATGAAAGAAAAGCCTTCAAACACGGAGCGTTTCCTCCCCAACTTTCATTCAAGAAATGCTTCCTACCGAGGCAGAAAGGAAATGTATAAGAGAAATATGCTCTTAAACTGGTGTTTAAGGCCACTAGGCAACGATTTAAGCAGGCTTAATGCCTGCAGTGGGTAACAAAAGGCCGAGCGGCTGCTTTGTTACCTGCTTTACCAGGAGGGACGGTAAAGGCAGATGTAAAACGGCGGTGCTGAACACGCACTGCAGCACACAAGGGCACGGGAGCCCATCAGGCCCGACAGTGCATYGGCTACCATAACCTGCTCGTTACGACGCCTTCCGCGCGGTTCCCACAGTTATTCCCATTTTGTTGTGCCTCGTTATTCCGGGTGGAACGAAGGCCGGATCCCGGCGCGGCTGAGCCTGCGGACACKCCGGTGTCCCCGCTCCGGCGCCCACGCGTGCCCTGCGCGCCCCACGCTCCCCACGACGGGAACCACGGGCGGCTTCCAGCGCTCACCCCGAGCGCCCGGGAACCTTCCCGGCTCCGAAGCTCCGCGCACGCAAAGCGCCGTTTCGGCAGCTCCATGGCCGTGCCCGCGGCCAGGCTCCGGCTCCACGCTCTGCTCCACGGAGCATGGGAGCGGGGCATGGAGGGGCGCTCCGCTTCCCGGCGCTCCGACGGGACCGCTCGGGATGGAGGCGCCTCTCCCGGCTGCGGTGCTGCCCCCGGCCCGGCCCGCAGCGGGCTCCGCCGCTCCCAGCCCATGCCATGCCATGCCGCCCCGGCGCGGCCGCTCACCCGGGAAGGCGGCGGCGGCGGCCGCCTCCTCCTCGCCGCTCTCCGAGTCGCTCCGCGCCGGCTCCTGCGCGAAGTTGACGCCGCGGGCGCGCTCGTGGCCCGCGCGGCCGCCCGCCTCGCGCTCGCGCTCGCGGGCGGCCGCCGCCGCCTCCTCCTTGAGGCGCCCGAAGTACTGGAGGGCGAAGTCGAGCAGGTCGGCGGGCTGGCTGCGCAGCACCTCCACCGTGAAGCCCTGCAGCAGCTCCGTGAGCCCCGCCGGGATGGAGATGCTCATGCCGCGGCCGGCGCGGGGGGCGCAGCCCGGGGACGAGGCGGGGGCAGC